ATTCAGGATCCATGACCATAATGTAGAGTTGTTATTTATTTTGTGCTGTAGACTTTTCTCAGCGTATCATAGATCTTGTTCTTCACATGGCAGAACAGAAGAATTCCATAGCTTTATATTTCTGATCCATAATGTGTGAAATTTCAAAGGTTATGTTTCATGATACGAGTTTCAGAACTTGACATTTAGGGAACAAATAGAAATCTGGGACGATGTTGCCGAATGCAACCAAGTATAACATATCTTTGTTGCTAATAACTTAATTTTTAACATTCAAGGATGTCATGCATTTAAACTCAAATGAAAGTGGTTTTCTGCATTAATGGTTTGTCTGTATGCTGCATTGTTTCATTACGAGTTGAAAAGATGTGGGAAAAGAAAATAATTAAAATGAAAYCCTACACAGCAGTAAGATAAGAATGTAGAGCCTGGCATTTTGCTCTTGGGGCTTAGGCAGGATCTGCTGCATTCTTTTGGGGATGTATTTTTTCCCCACAGTTACCTTTTAGTTTATATGGTTTTCTTTCATTCCTACTTCAAGGAAGACCTTTTTATTCTTACTGAAGAGGGTCTGCCATTTTGTCACATCAGATTTTAAAAAAAAAGCCTTTCCCATGTTGAAGGCAACTAAATATGAAGAGGCTGTTCTTAAGAACAGACAGTGGCGTTTGTGAAGCCTCCAGCAGACTGTTGCGCGGGGGGAATGGACACTCTCCCAAAGGCCTCTCCCCTATGACCTCTTTTTAAAAATCATCTTGAAATTAGAATATTACTGTTAATTGTATCTTCTGTTTTTCTTTTGCCATGTGTCTTCAGAATTTGGGTTTTCTTAATACTCATATCTTGGTGTTATTTTGAATTCTTTGGATGAAACTGGGTTGAGAGATTACTTAATGTTTTCAGCTTTTAAACAAATGCCTTAAACAAACTAATTATGCCAGACCCTGCCTAATGACCATGGCAGTGTTATTCAACAGATGGTCACAGGTTCTGTTTTACGAATAGGAATATTGAGAGTTCTTCATGCTCATTAYGTACAAGGGATTCACAGATGTACTCTAAGAATTCGCTTGTGAAAAGCTGGACGTAAGTACTATATTTTGGTGATGATTTTGAGAAAGGTTTTAATGTTTAACTTGCATACCATGTGATCTTTCGTTTTCTTTATTTCCTTTATTTATGTGCTGTGCAGGCAGAATGGGGGGAATGTGTTACAGATGACTTTGGCAGTGATCAGTTCTTCTAGGAATTTACAGCTTGCAGCTTTTTTTAACTCAAGCATTTACCGCAAAGTGATTGAATGCATTTGAAATGTAAACATGGAAGCTCATCTTTTTAAGAAAAAAATAYGCTTTATGCAAGATATTATACGTGCTGCATATATTTCTGTGTTACTTTATAGAATAGAAATAAGTTTTTATCCTGTGGCAGAAACCTTGTCTCTTTCCATRGACAGCCCAGCTAGTTGTATATCTAAATATGCAAGAGATGCAATAGGTTATGTCTGCAAAAACTGCAGATGTAGTTTGTGTTAGTTAATGTCTTTATCTCCACAATGAGACTTGGAACAATTTTTCTTTGGAATAAGTTAAAAAAATTCTTATTTTCTTCRGTACTTATTACAGATTTGACTTGTCTACTCCTTGTTTATTCCCTTCACCCAAAGAGCTACACCTAGAGATTTATCTGCTAATGGGGACTAGGAAAGCACTAAATGAGCCTGGTAGACTAAGGCCTCAATACAGCAAAGCAGTAAGTGTATGTTTCACTTGGAGTAATCCCATTGACTTCCAGGCTAAGCAGAATTAATCTTGGGCTGCAAGATTCTTGTCTTATCCTATGGTAGTCTTGTATCCTAAAATTAATACCCCTCAGGCTAAGCGCGGAGCAGTTATATATTCCTCCTTGGCAGCGACTGCTCACAATGCCCTTGGTTTGTACTTAACTCCTTCTGCTGTTCAGCTTTTCTAAAAACTAGGCTTCAGTCTGCAATTTCTTGGTTGCTGCTAATGTTTTTTTGCACAGGCTTGTGTCTCCTGGATCGTAGACCTGCAACTTTAAATTAGAGTTATAGAAATGCAAGTGTGATTARCTGGAAATGGTCTCTCCCACTAGACAGGATGAGTCAGCAAAGCCACAGCTATCTCTTTACTACCAGGAGTTAGACTCTTTAATTTGTATTTTATTTCCCTCCTGCCGTGCCTTATATCTTTCTTTTGACAAATGAGAAGATGGAGGGGTGCAAGGAGGAGTATTAGTCTACTTGCTGGACAYGGCACATTTCATTGGCACTTTGTATTAAAGTTTTGACATAGCTTTCAATGTCCACCTTGTTTTAAAAGATATTCTCTCCCCATGCGTGGGTCCCACATGGTGATCTGCTCTTGACGTTGTTCTCAGAATCCCAGAATGGCTGAGGTTGGAAGGGACCTCTAGAGAYCRTCTMGTCCAACCCCCTGCTCCAGCAGGGACACCCAGAGCACGGGGCACAGGGYGGCATCCAGGCRGGTTTGGAGACCTCCAGAGAAGGAGRCTCCACAGCCTCCCTGGGCAGCCTGTGCCAGGGCTCTGTCACCCTCTCAGTAAAGAAGTTCCTCYTCACATGGATTGTTGTGAAAGCAGAGATGGGCAGAGGGACCAGCAGTGAAATAATGAATGTTACAGGGAAAAAGAAAGAAAACTTCAAAGCAACGGTGTGTCTGAGGGGAGTGTCCTCGCGAGGGTTGTTTCTCACCTCTCGAGGTGCCTACCTGCCCCCCGAGCCGCTCTAGCTCCAGGCTGGGCTGTGCTGCCACRTGAACCACTGTGGCCACCAGCCCCTGGCGGGGTTATGGGGTGCTGACAATTTGTCATGGCAAAACGTTCATTGTTGCTGGAAGTGCCAAAACTACAGCCGGCGCTCCGGCTCCACCGCGAGTGGCCCTGCTGTGTCTCGGAGGAAGGTAAGTGGTCCTGGGCGCGTTGTGCTCCCGCTGCCCTCGCCGCAGCAGGGCGAGTGCGGCAGCGCGCCCGGCTGCGCGCACCGGCCACGAGCGGGTCGGGAAGGCCACCGGGGCCTCGCGCCTGAGTGTGAGGCACCACCTGAACCCACCTGCGTTTCACTGCGTGTGGAAACCATAAAGATGGTTTTTCCATAAGGGGCTGGCAGCAAAGTTATGGCCTCTGCTCGGCGTCGGAGTGATCCTGCAAGGCCACTTGCTGAGAGAGACAAGTTTTAGACTGGGAGGCCCTGGTGTGTCGTTTGGGCACCAGTGAGGCCCGTGTGTTGTCCTCTGCGGTGTGTCACACGGACCAGGCGGACACCCCAACAGCACAAGGGCTGGGTGGTGCGTCCGGCGGTGCCCAGGCACCGCACCGCTTGCCTCTCCCTTCCCTTGATTTTTAAGGGACTGTTTGTTACTGTCTGCGTCACGTTACTGCTCAATAAGGGTCACTGGATTTGGCGCTTAGCTTGGCAGGATTGGGCACTTAGCAACAGTTTGGGTAATTTGGGGTATTATTTGAGAAATGTTAATATTTTGGAATTTTGTGCCCACAAATGTGACTGTTATTGCCCAAAAGCAGTATGAAATCTCCATCTCAAAAATGACAAAAATACAGTTTGTTCTTCATTGCTTTGTGCTTGCCGCTTTGGGTATGTGCAGTCTGACCAGCTTCTTCTCTTTGTTTGATTTCAAGTGCTGTAATTTGCTTTTTACTGTGCAGTGCTTATGTGTCTTTTAAGAAGTGTACTATAAAAGGGGTAAATCGATGAAATAGCTTTTGTGTGGCTCCCTGTATTTTATATTGTAAAGTGTGTTATTTAGAAGAGTAGAGTGATATTGATTTATTTTCCCAGAGGGTTTCTTTGACTTAGYTATGGGAACATTTTGGAAAGATATTGCAGATTAATTGAAGTTATAGACTAAAATGTATAAGTCATCGGTCATTCATGCTCATAAACCTACAGAGGTAATTCATACCAAATACCCACCTTRTTGGTATAGTATCACTTTAATAAATCCCCCCGAAGACCGTAACACAAATCACAGCTATAAAAAGAGAGCGCACAGTAAGATTAGAGAAGAACAGACAGGATGATGTAAGAGATCAGCATTTAGCCCAACCCATTCTGATTTGTTCCACAGTTTTAATGTTTGCAAATCTATTAACTGGCAAATGTTCATATTTGTATATAATAGGACTTTTGAATCAGATAGCTTTTTTTTCCATATAAAACAGTCTACCAGGTATTTGCGATTTCTACGCTTTAAATATTTTGTATTATATTATCAGCCCTGTATTCAATCCATTTATGAAACACAAAGCACTCCCATTTGTAGAGATTTATTTTTGTATCGTTTTTCCCCAGATTTGCCAGAACACCGTCATGTTCGTGTTCTGAAGGTTAATGCCCAAAGTCAAGCAGACAGAAGCCAAGTGCTGCAACGTTTCCAAGATTAGGACTGATTCCCTTCACAAAAATAAATGATTCCTGCCATGTTCAGTGATTTTGTGCAGCACTACTCACGGCTCAGTGAGTGCATCAATACTGTAGTCCTTACATGCTGTACATACTGATGACACTCTGTGTTAACTTGATTGACTGAGCAGTATACTGGAGAGGATGCACCTGCAAGAGATACACAGACATATATTTTTATTCTGCTTTTAAAGCATCTATTTTACTTTTTTTTTTTTTTCTTGGAAGTCTTAGTTGCAAACTCCATGGGCAATCATGTTGTGCTGCTAAGGTAGAGCAAACAGTTATATGCTTCTTTGTTGTCAGAACTGTATTGGAAAATGATCTAAGGTGCATCTTCTTTCTTTTTATAACCAAAAGCCTGATTTATGTTTTAAAGGAAAATGACATAAAGGGGACGAGTGTGAAGTCTGGCAAATCAGTAGCTATGTAAATTATGCTTTAAGAGAATCAGTTTAATGGTAGAGAAATGTCTCATGCAATTCATTTATGAGCAGTATTTTTGTTACATTTTTATGTTTTGTTATCATTCTTGTAGGCTTTAAGACAACAGCAGAAAAGAAGAAATGGAGTCTCAATGATGGTAAACAAGACTGTTCCTCGTGTTGTTTTGACACCATTAAAGGTGTCTGATGAGCAGTCGGATTCACCTTCAGGTAAACAGCTAAAGGACCGCTCGAAAGATGAGCTCTTGTCACAGAGCCTTCCTCTGAATCAGATACGCAGCAGACGGGATTGGGAACTGCTAAAAATAATAATTCCATGATGGCTTTGTTTAATGTTCTTTTTTTTTTTTTTTTTTGTAAAATCTGCTGACTTCAGGATGGAGATTTTTCTTTAATTTTAATAAAGAGCTGAAGAGACATAATAAAATTGACAATTGAAAATAGCAGCAACTTTAAAGGAATGCAAAATAACATTTTGTTGGGCTGTAGTGGAGGACCACATGCTGGTATTGAATGTCATAAAAAGGAGGGGGGGRAAAAAAAAGGCAAGCTTTTCTGTGAGCGTGAATTTGTGTCTCAATTCTGCATTGCAATCCTGGGAATCTTTTGTTAGCTTTTCTTGTTGTGGTACCATTCTTACACCACAGTGTAACCCTGACCTTTAGTTCTGGTTGTTAAGTTGCTTCATTTTGAGAGATTCCTACATCTGTGTTTAACGCAGATTGGCAGTTGGGTTCACAGGCATAGCTCTTTTATGAAATTTATTTCAGAAAGAAATTTGCTTTTTTTTTTCTCCTTTAGATTGCTTCAGTGCCCCATAACTTAGTGTTTAAATTATTTTTAAAGATACCTCCTGGGCATTAGAGGAAAACATTATTTTTATTAGATCAGTGAACATTTTTATTGACTGCAGTGTTCAGTAAACTTTAGTTTTCACCACTTAATTGATTTATTGAGCTTTTACTTCCATTTCCTCTGGTGATGAGGAATCAAATTGTAACCAGAAAATTGTGACTTTTCAGCCAGTAGATGTCATTTTTTTTATTAATCTTCTTTTGTTCTGTGAACTGTGTGTGTGTTGCGGGGGAGGGAATGCATCAGTTTCACATTTTAGATTTTTGTTTTCTTTTCCTAAGGGTCTGAATCTAAAAATGGTGAAGCAGACGGTTCTGATAAAGAGATGAAAAATGGGCAAAAGTCTCCAACTGGAAAACAAACAAGCCAGCACTTAAAAAGGTTAAAAAAATCTGGTTTAGGTGAGTAAAGCTAAAATAACTCTTTTATCTGTTATTGTAATATTGTTATTTTTGTAGACTCTGTGTCCTCTTTAGAAGTTTTATTTCTCAGGCTTATCTGTGTTCTTCTTGAATTCAGGAGATGACTCTTCCTGCAGCAAGTATTTTTCTTTATGTCTTCCTACAAAATCTATAGGGCTAACTCTCCCAGGATGCTTTTCTGTCGTTCCTTTTTAAGGTTTGACAGCCCTAAGTAACTGCGGCCCGTGGTCATTTAGTGCTTAGCTTCTCATTGCTGCATTATGCTCTGGGTTTTTTTTTTTAACCAAGAAATATTCTTTCTTGCCGTTGCATATACTTTTACTGCCAAAGCAAACAATTTTCTTACATATATATCTCACAGAAGATGACCTTCTTTTCTTCAAATGCATTTTTCCATGTCATACTGACATTATCCTTTTTGATTGATTTTCTTTGTTGGTTGGACTTGTTTCTTCAGTCGTATCCTTAATTATTTTGAAGCTATATCTCTAGAGATAGTCAATAAAATTTCTGTTTATTATTTTCCACATTTTTCAKCAAGATTCACGGACGATGATCTGTAATTAATAAAGAATTTTCTCTGAAGAAATGATAAGAGTAAATTCTTAATAGCTCTGTGTGATCCGCCGATTTTCTTGCTCTGCATGGAATATAATTGGAAAATTTCCCTCAGGAATAGAAAAAGTAGTGTTCACACAGACTGTTGTCTTAGCTAAGCAAAGCACAATAATTATATAACTGCTTTTTTATCTTTACAGAGGACTTTTTGCATTCAGCAGACCGCTGAACCATTTAGAGAGATTTCATAATGTGACCAAATTGGAGAATCTTTTTGTAGAGATTGTATAATCCTAAAAATTATTGAATGTCTTTCTCTTTGTTAATAGTTTTTTTTCTCCTTAGTAGTGACCTGACCTTGTCATATTTATTACATAACAGTTCTGTAAAATGAACTTATGATACTTTATTTGCTAAATCACACAGTTTGTTAAATCTGCTWTAACCAGTTCCTAGCCAACTGCTTCATTCAAGCTTTATTGTTTTCCAGCCTCCTGTGAAATTATACTTTGATTTCATATATAATCTTCCTGCAGATTATTTTTCAGCCTCTGGGAGATAGGTCGTACTCTATGTTAATCTAATGACATTATCTAAACCTGAAAATCTTCTTTACGATTACAATGTTTGTCATGCAAACATATGTCCGATCCTAGATGATTTCCTGTAACTTTCCTCTTGAATTGCTGGAGATACATACTGTGATATATCGATTCCTCCCCATGCCCTGATAGCTCATCAGCTTTTGGCCTCTGACACYGTGTATAGAGCAGATGAGTTATTTTTTGTGTGTATGTATTTCAGAAAAAAAAGAATCCTCTTGCRTTTCTGGGGCACAATCAGGGCTTGGAAGGCTGGAGTCTTGCTCACGGTTTAAATGTCTCTGTATACTGGTGAAATGCTTGCCATACGGCACAGAACTTCCTGGGATACTACCCGAGCAGTCGTTGAGCATCTCTGAGAATTGTCCAGGATCCTATATAGTGTACATTTCAGTTCTGGGCATTGTTCACTTCTCTGAAACACTGCATATTCTATTTGGTAGACTTGCTGGTCATCAATTAAATACGGCTCCCTCCCCCCACCACCACCTTTACTTAAAAAATTCTTTTGACTGTATGATTTCCACTTATTTCCTATTTTGTTTTTTGTACTTCAATGTAAAACCRTGGGGCTTCCACCCCTTTCACAGCTGTTGGAGACTAATCTTTCCAAGCCTGTAAGTTCGAGTTTTTCTCTCCTTTCATCTCTCATTTCTGATCAGTGGTCCCTCCGTCTCTGAACCACGTTAGCAGCTGTGCAGGAATTCACAGCGTCTTTCTGTGTAGGATCCCAGTGTGGCAAACACTGGCCCCCGGGCTTGCACCCTGCCTGCAGCTTCAGTCTCTCGGGGTCACGAGTAGCCCTGCAGCAGCTGCCTGCTCTCCAGCTCCCACCAACGGCTCCGTGCTCTTCCCAAGCCTTTCCCTAAGTGGGATCACCCAATGGAGACCTGCAACAAAGGTCCTAGCGCTGATTTGTATCAAATCCCTGATTTGTGTCTTAGAAAGGGTGCAGGAGGCAGAATTTGCTGCCCTGAAGAGATTTTTTTTTTCTTTAAGTATAGCTATTACATACATGCTCAGTGAGCTAATGGCCTATCATCCTAGGAGTAATATACATTTCTCAAGCAATTTCCTCCACAAATTGATACAATCTCTCTAGTAGCCTGGATTACTGGTAGGAGGTCAGATAAATCAGCAGAAAGATGTTACTACCTTTGCAGTCATGTAGTTGGTTTTATTCTGGAACGTCTGTGTGTTCCATACAAAATGTATTTTTTTTTCCATAGTGTGTGATATATTAGATAGGTTGAAAAAAAGTCACTGGAATTTGGAATCTATCTGTGAGGATAACGGGAACTGGTATTCTGTATTGGTTAAAAAAAGGAACATATATATATGCATTAAAATTAGATACATCATACTGCTTGTGTTACACTTGGGGATTGGGTTCTTTTTGCATTTATATTTAGTGGGTTGAACAGATGGTGAGGACAGTTTATTGCGATGTACTCATTAAAATGAGCGCTTCTTCCACACAATTGTCCTTTATAGCAGGCATTCATTTGTTTGTAATGGAGTCTTTGCTATATTCAAATATAGTAGGTTGGAAATATGTGTTGGAAAAGGTTATCTTCTGCTGAGTGCAAAGTAAGCCTTGTCTCATTCAGTTAGTACTGCCTGCTAAAAGTAGCAGAGAATTGCAGGAATGTTTGTGGGAAGCTGTGACTGAGGGGGAGCTTGCAGAAGTTACACATTTGCTGTAGTTTCTTTCTTTTTTTTTTTTTTTTTTTCATTTTCTGTTTCATTTGTTTTGTGGATGATGTCACAGCCTTTCAGAGAAGACCACACTATAAGCTTTTAAGGAAACTAAACCATAATTTTCATAAATGTTACTGTTAAGTGCCTTGTAGCATTTGAAGAGTCCCTTATTATGAGTCTACCCAGACTCTTCTGTCTGTTAGATATGTCTGTACTTCTTGAATCAATTTGAACCTTGCTGAAAGGTCCTGTGTGAATGCCAAATGCTATCGTTGCACATAGCAGCGGAGTATTTTTTCCAGTTCCTTTCCTAGAGACTCTGCAGGAAGTTGTACAGATCAAAACCTGGAGGGCCTGGARTTTTTCAGAGTCTCGTGTCTGACCACTTGTATCGCTGACTTGTTCCAGTTTCAGACTGGATGCAGTGGAAGGAACGAAGGACTGTAACACTACGTATACAACCTCGAACAGACAGCAGAAGTTAATTGCTCTTCTAAGGGCTTTAAAAATATCTTTTAAATCATGGAATGGCTGAGATTGGAAGGGACCTCTAGAGATCGTCTAGTCCAACCCCTCAAATCCAGTCCGCCCTTCAAATCCAGGCGGATTTGAAGATCTCCAGAGAAGGAGACTCCACAGCCTCCCTGGACAGCCTGTTCCAGGGCTCTGTCACCCTAATATTATCATAGAAATAATTTTTAAAAATGGTGCCAGAAGAGACCTCCTGTGTTCATCTAAACTGTTCACCAGTCCTACGCCAAGATCAGTTATACATCTGTCATTCCTGACAGATATTCTTCTAACCTATTCTCAAATCTATCTAGTGAGAGAGACTAATGTCTGCCTAAGGAATCCAATCCAGTGTTTCCTTAGCCTAGGTAGCTAAACTTTATTTTTTCCAGTATCTAACACAAATATTCCTTACTGTTTAAGCTCATCGCCTTTTCCTATGGATAGTCAGAACATGTTGTTCCTTAAGCCCTGTGCATCCATCTCCAGTGGATTTTCCCTGCCATGYACCTTTTGTGTACAGCCCCTGCGGAGTCATCTTCATCTTGAGCGTCTCCAGGTGCTGTGCAACAAGTTGGCAGCCCTAGTGCCCTGCAGATGCACAACGCACAAGTTCTGTGTGACGATTCATTCCCAGCCTCATCAAGTAGCCTTTGCTYAGGAATAGATGCTCACAATTACATTGATGAAATGACAGGAAGGTATTCTTCTGATGCTGAGCTGAGAATATCTCTTGAGCTAGAGGTAAGAATATGTCAGTTATAGTGTTGACTGGAAGCTCAAAAGCTCAAATGCAGGGAATATAAAGGAAGCTGAGCAAATCTTCGGAAAAGGCTGTCTTAGAGTACTGCTTCTCTGGAACTTATTGTATTACACAAAAAATACGAAATGTTTAAGAATAATTCTTGTTYATATTCTCTTGATTTATGTTTAAAGTCAATTTTTGTTTATTTATTCCAGGACATTTGAAATGGACCAAAGCTGAGGATATTGACATAGAAACGCCAGGATCTATTCTAGTGAACACTAACCTGAGGGCTTTAATCAATAAACACACCTTTGCTTCTTTACCTCAGCATTTTCAACAATACCTCCTCCTTTTGCTTCCAGAAGTAGACAGGCAGGTAAGTGAAAACACGCTGTATTTATTTCCATACTTCCCAAGACTTTTTAACAGTGTGTTTACATAGGCTGGCTCCTTGGACTTGCAGGTTTTCTGGGAAAACATAGGAAGATAACATCTGTAATTTCTTAAGTAAGAAGACAGAGTGACTGTAAAATTTGCCTTAGCCTTGACCAGTACCTCCTTCCTTGTGTCCTCTGTTTCTTCTCCATTCTTTCTGAAGACTCTAGAGCTCTGTGATTTGTCAGAAGGCAACTGGCCAACGGATTGTCCTAACTTGCAGAMTTTCTTAATGAGCTTCTCTACCTGCAGCATTCAAGATAACCTTAAAAATTCTCATCTTCAAGCTTACCTAGAGTCTCCCTTCATCCATTTACCTTCCTGGGCACTCCACCAGGAGTGTCCAGTCACTATTAGGTCTGTTGGTTCTTTCTCCTACTCCCCTTCTCTGCATGGCAACCTATGCAGCTGCTCAGGTCTGGGACCCAGCTCCTCATAGCTTTTGTTAGAAACTTTCTGTATGGAGCTCACAAATGTAAGCTCATATTGCTTATTAAGCAGCTCAGTTCAGGAGAAAGATTTTGGGAGTGCCAAGGTAGAAGCAAAGATTCAATTTTATACCATTTCAAACAATGTTTAGTCCTTTTGGACCTACTGTTTAGTTTGATTGCCCATAGGAGCAAGAAAAGGCCCTCTGGCATGTGTAGCAGTTAAAAGGGCAGAGAGGGTCCAAAACACTTTCATTTTTACCCCTGTCTGACTTCAGGATATAAGTAATCTCATTGATTTCAGCAGGGATTTTTCCACGTACTTAACTCAGACTCATTCTTAAGCACCCTGCCCAATTATAAGGCATTGCAGTTTATGCAGTTGTCCAGTACTCCTGTTTCTATGGTTCTACAGGATGCAAGTCTCTTAAATGCCTGTATCTTATATCAGACTGTTGAATGCCATGATTTTATTTTTTAAGCTCTCTCTCTGTAGTGTAGTTAAAATCTAACACAAAAAAAAATCAGTTCAGTATAAGGCAAAAGACAGGAAAAATTATATTGATATACATTTATTCAGTAACTTACCAAATCAGGTACTTTATTTTATGGACCAAAATTATGGTACTTTGGCACTTTGGTAGTGGGATATTTGAAAGAGAACATTAAGAAACCAAGCCATGGGAGAACCATATAAACTCATTTATTCTCAGGTTCCTGTAGTGCACTCAGAATCAGTATTGACATATTTCAGGAGAATCTTTTATGCTAGCTGTTAAACAGATTTTAAAACTAGTACATGCCAACATCTTACTGATAGTTCTGAAGTTTTTTTTTTCTAATGCATCAGAATAGATAAAAATGTCTGATAGATAAAAAATATTTTCATCAGTTTTTGCACTCTACACTGTCAATATCCCTGTTTAAAGGCTTACAGAACACTAGAGTCTCTGGAACTGAAAAGCCATTTCTCCTTCATGGTAGAGGTCGTAAAGCAGAGTTCTTGGTGAGAAAATCGAGATGTCTGTATTGATTTTAATCATAACTCAATAATGAAAATCCAGTCATTTCTTTGTAATTATTTTATCAGAAAATGTTTGCATAATATATAGATCTCAGGTGTTACTTCTACAATGCAGTGCTACGTAATAGAACAGTACTAGTTCCCAAGAGAACTGTGCACAAAAAAAGAAGTGATTGCCACAAGGAAGGCCTTTGCAGGCGTCCTTATGTCTGTATCCTTCTTGCAGTTCTCTATGGGTTTCTATAGCATACCATAGTTTTGCTTGCATTTGTAAAGGCAGAAGTCTCCATACATTTCTGGAGGATTAACTGAAGTGTTAGTCTTCTCTATGTGATTTTTTTGGGGATCATTTTCTTGTGCTGAGTAAAATAGCAGTGGGCAGCCCCCAATTCTCACTTTGAAGTCACAGTGAAAAAAAGAATTGCATCTGGTTTTTGAAGTATGGGAATATGTCACTTGTATCCAGAGAGCAGCATTCCAGATGCAAACTGGTGGAAACAAATAATTTGATAAACTTTTCCTTCCTGCAGTAAGTGGAAGACACCCTTTATAGTGCTCAAGAGTGAGGAAGAGAGTATGTGCTCAAGTGAGGAAGGGACAATTCCAGCCAGGAAGTTCTTGTCAGTCCCTGATAGTAGTCACTCTTCCTGGACTAGGCAGGAGTTTCTTTGTCCAATTTTGTCTGAACCAAGTGGGGCCTAAGGCAAGCAAACACAAGGTATTCTTTGACTTTCCATCTCTGTGGGTTCTCTTCTCTTGCTTTATTTGTATTTTCCTCGTTTCATCTGAAAATTTCTACTGCTGCTATTCTGGCTCTGAGGTGTTTCTTCCATGTGTGCTGCTGTGCTGTTGGCTGCTGCCATCTTCCCCAGAGAAAGCTCCATTGCTCTGTTCTCATATGGATGGGATGCAATGAATGGTGCTATAAAAAATGTCATAGAGTTATGCTATTTGTATGTATATGTAGTGCTCTGTGAAATAAATTACTTATGAAGTGCAGTCTCATTTAGGCTTTATTACTGCTTCACACAGAAAAACCTTACGATGAATGATCTTTTGTCATGTCTGTCATAAACAGCATTTTTCTGGGTGGTATAACTCCTCCTCCTTAAATCATATTGCGCTGAAACTTGTCATGCATATGTCAGTTTGAATAAGCATTTTTAAGAAACTATTATTTAAGGGAGTTGAGATTTTCTTTTTTATTTTGTTTGTGTTAAACATAAATAATTAACATCTCACTAAACCCCGGTTACTCCGCTATGTTCAGAAACTAGTTCAGGACCAAGTCAAGACCTTCGCAGGAAGTGTTTTCTGCATCTTCTTTTGTTTTTAATTTTGTGATTGCTATCAGRGAGTCATGGGAGTCCCTTAAGGAACATGGAGCAAAGGCCCTTTGGAATGATGTCCTAGGGTGCGAAAAGTTGGGATCACCTMTGCTATATTGGTGATATCCCTTTTCCTACTCCAACCAGATTTTTGCAGGCTCAGAACTCTAGAATTGCTGCCTCATTTTTTTCCTTATGAAAAGATAAATGTTATCATCAGTTATTCACAGTTTGAATTGATTTCAGCTTGCATAGTAGTTTAAATTTTATTTCAATAGCAGTGAGGCCTATGTATAATTTCATGTATTCAAAATGCCTGTAAAACAAATCGGGGCAAGCTGGCAGTCAGATAGTTACTTCCTAAGGATCTTATTTACTTACATTTACTTTTATTTGTGTATTGACAATGAAATAATATGCAGATGTTGTTTACAGAATAGAAACCCTGACCCAGATTTGCCTGTTCATCAGGTTGCTTGAGTGGGAACCTCATATCTAGAATTTGGCAATCCAGATTTTCAGCTGTTTTTCAACCTAATGGACTTAAGGCTCAAAAACCTTTATGTTCCTCTGCTGTGGAAGCCTGGCAGGAGCTTCCCCACGAGAACTAGGTGACCTAGTGACAACAAACAAAGCATGTTGGTATCAAAACTGTATGAAAAGCAAAGGCTCTGCACAATAGATTTCAATTATCACAAACCCCTACAATGATTTTTGTTTTTTTTCTGTCAGCTCTAATCAGAACATTCATAGCTGAAGAACAATGGATTTTTGATCAAAGAAACCTACCTTTGATATTGATACATCAAGATGATGATTATGTATAACAGAAGCCTTGCTAACTGTGCAGRCATAGGAAGTTTCTTTCTTTATCTGGATTTTTTTACAGTGCATCAAAATCTCTTTGAGGTGAATACTAATTAAACCATGTAGGCTGTGCAAGAGTGCGTTAACAGGACKGTGTGGCAGGCCCTGAAGAAGACTGGTAGCAGCAATAGCTTCCTTGCACAAGCTTTCCTTGTTGCTGCTCTTGGGGCAGTCAAATTCCCGCTATTGAAAATAGGGAAAGAGAAAGAGAAGTATGACTGTTTAGTCAGACATCTCCAACAACAGAAATAAATACTGCCTCATCGGCATTGTAACAGAAAGCTCAGGTGATTTCCTTCACCCTCAGAGACCTGTTCTTTCTTCATGGCCCTTAAAAGATACAGCTTTCCAGACTCTACAAATGCTTAACTACTTTCTGATCTTCAATTTAACTTCCCTTCTGGTATTTTCTCTTCCTGTCATTCTTCTAAGCCTCTTACCATTTACAGCTGCCCTGCCCTTATTACCTAGGACGGGAATTTTCTCACAGTCGTGAAGGATCCCAAGGTCACCTGAGACCTGTGTCTCAATTTACCATACCATTTTATAAATAAAGGAATTTAAAACAGTAAATGATGTCCAACTAAAATTGTATCCTCTCCTAGCTCTACTTATTTGGTGGAACAAATTTTAGAAATCTCTGTTTTTCTTCCTTGACTCATTCTACAATTAATGCATAATCAAGAGAGTTATTTAAATACATAATTGTAAACTTGGAAGTAATTTTTAGAAAGTGATCTAGAGAATTCCATTTCAGAAACACTGCTTTCATATAATTTGAGTCGGCTTCATATCTGTTACTACCATTTAAACAACAGCATGTACCAGATAACCTGTGATGTGATATGCCCAAATTACTCTCAGTCCTTCGTGTATCAGTTTGAGCTCCTCAGTGGAGAGAGGCAATGAATAATACAAAATCATTCAAAAAAAATTACAGTTGTACAAGACAAGGAAAAGGATCTGTCATCTCCCATTCTGACAGTATTTATTTTACTACTTGAGTACAAAAGAATAAAATAAATACTATTTAATGTATATTTCACTYTATATGACATTTATGTTGAAAGAGAGTAAGTTTTCGCAGCTCCTTCCCTCTGGCAGTGTAACCCCAGYGCACATTTGCTTTCAGCTTCATCTCTCCATTCAGGTCACACTGCCATTTACTTTCCTGCCTTTTCTTTGTAAGACACCAAACTGTGCAGAAATTATTCTTGTATTATTTGCTCCCAAGTTGATTTTGCATTTCTCTCCATGGAATTACGGTGTTGTAATAGCTAAATGGTTGCCTTCT